TTTAGCTTTTTGTGTCACGGATATTGATACTTCTGCATCGATCAATGTCTGATGATGGTGACCGTCTTCACCAAAATATTTAATAATTCATAAAAAGTCACATTTTAACAACTTACAGTTAAAGTTAAATAAAGCATTATGGTTAAAATACTTGATTAACGAAATAATAATAGTTGAATTTGAATAAATCTTCCACGTTTTCTGCATTATTGCCAACTGCACAAAACCAAAAGGTAGGTTAAAATGTTTGTACTTGTGTCTGTCTGCAAAGTATTTCATGAATCTCTGTGAATTTAAATGAAACTCTAAGAAAGTTATTGTCAGATGTACACATACAATGGAGTGGATGCAGTTCAAGATGGCCGCCACAGCTGATTCAAGATTCAAGGATTCAAGGTTCTTTATTGTCATTTGCATCACATGAGGCACATGAGGTGGAACTAACTGTGTACACAGGGTCCCAGTTACATCCAACAAAAGTATCAAATGTAAAAGAAAAACAATAATAAGATCTAAGACAAGAACTAAGAAAAATGTTAATTAAAAATACACTAAGCACTAATCAACCTAAAATAACTAATTTACAAACATTGAGCTAAAGTTCGGTGTGGTAGTAGCTGAGAGTCTTCCTAGATTTATATCCTGAGCACTAACAGATCACTTAAAGTTAGCCCTGTCTTGTCTGTTAGCAAAATATCTAATCAACCACTGGGTGGATTTTAATGAAACTCACACAAAGTAATAACTGAATGAACATCTAAAATGGGTTCCCAGCACTGGTCCTTGAGGAACACCGTCCTGCATGTTTTAGTTGTTCCTCTGCTCCAGCACACCTAATTTGAATGAAAGGATGATTAACAGGCTACTGCCGAACTTAAAGAAGTAATTAAACCACTGAATCAGGTGTACTGGAGCAGAGAAACAACTATAACATGCAGGATGGTGTTCCTCAAGGACCAGTGTTGGGAACCACTGTTTTAAAACATATAAACTACTGGAGTCGATCCAGTTTATGATGACAATAATAACTGATCACAATACAAAGATTGAAGTGTACCGTATTTTCCGGTGTATAAGTTGCAATTTGTTGCATAAATTTGCAAGTCCTGTGACTTATAAAATGTTTTTTTTTCCATACGCAAAACATAATTTTTGACTGACGCTTGAAATGTTCATTCATTCTGACATGAACCCGAGTAAACATTACCATTTGGAGCCGCTAGAAGTGCAAGAAGGCTCCGTGGCGGTGCGCCACCCATCCACCCACCCACCCATCAATCCATCCATCCAACCAACCATCCATCCATCCATCCATCCATCCATCCATCCAGCCAGCCAGCCAGCCATCCATCCATCCATCCATCCATCCATCCATCCATCCATCCATCATCCATCCATCCATCCATCCATCCATCCATCCATCATCCATCCATCCATCCA